AGTCTAATGGCTAGCTTTATTAATAAACTTTGTTTTTTCCCATTTTCATTCTGACACGGAAATAATCTCGCCATTTCACTGAAGATGGAGTATTAAGCAGAAAATTCAAAATCAAGTCAATAAAAACAATACATGTGATACTACCTGGTACTATGCTGAACATTTCCCTAGAACTTACCCCATCCTCCCATAGGCCTTGCTGTACTTTGAATCAATTGCTATAGCTTTTTCACAATCTTTTATTGCATCTGTGTAGTGACTTAACTTGCTCTGTGCAGCAGCCCTAAGAAAAAAAGAAAAAGGTTTTTTTTATTATACACAGGTTTCAAGACATTAATTTAGAATTTCAGGTACTAATAAAACTATATTTTCTTTGCATTAACTTGTAAATCACTCCCAACAAATTTCTAAGTCAAACTGTTTGTGGTAATTATATAATAAAGTGAAAAACAAGGGGCCAGGGAGATAGCTTGGCAGTCTAAGTGTCTGCCTGGCAAGTACAAGGACCTGGGTTCGATCCCTAGTATCACATGCCCTGCCAGCCCCGGAACCCTAGGTGTGCTGTGCTGGCCACTCAAATCGGACATGGTGGTACACGCCTGTAATCCCAGCACTGGGGAGGTTGAGACAGGAGGATCACTAGGAGTCCAACCTGCATAGTGAGAACCTACACCAAATAAATAAATAAGTAAATAAATGATTTTAAAAAGTTAAAAAAATTAAAGTGGAAACAAGAAGAACTCAGGAACTTCTGTTCAAGTACAAAATATGCAAGCTTCCTTTCACTGTTTACGTCGCTGTAGAAAAGGCAGCTATGCAAGTCATACACCTTTTAAGGGGGACTCCAGGGAGGCACGCAGAGGGAGTGGCTGCGGGGAGGACCACGTGGAGCATTATGCTATCTGCTTGCTTTAGGAGTAGTGTTACAGAACAAGTCCTTTGGTCTCTTCCCCAGTTCTTTCACGTCTGAAACAACTAAAATTTGTTTAAGTATCCCAAAAGTTCCCATAATCTCATCCCTCTGCAAAACACTGAAAAAGCCAACTTTGGAAAAAGAATACCCCTCCATAATGTGTCCACATTATCTCAGAAGATTAACTCAGAAGAGAAATAAGGAAGGAAAACAGGAGATTTAAAATAGGTGCTCAGAAAGCAACATGAGGGCTGGGTGCACACCTGTAATCACAGCTACTTGGAAGGCAGAGGCAGGAGCATTGCAAATTCAACTGCAATCTGGGTAACTTAGCAAGACCCTCACTCAAAAATATTAATGTCTAAATCTAGGTGTGGATTTCTTTAACTTTGAATTTTTTCATAATAAAATGTTAGAATTTTTTTTCTAACATTTTTAAAAAGATTAATTCAGAACAAGCCCTGTCAGACTAACATCTTTTCCTCATTATTTATTTTTTATTCAGTTTTGGCTCTTTTTTGAGACAGGATCTCACTATGCAGCTCAGGCTAGCCTTGAACTCACTATGTAGCCCAAGCTGGCCTTGAACTCACAGCAATCCTACTGTAACAGCATCTAGAATACAAGGATTATAGGCATATAACTGATCTCAGGTCCTCTTTATTTTATTTATTTTTTT